TCAGGCTCTGCATGGGAGAGTAAATTAACTCCAACAGGCACTAGTTTTTAAGTCTTAATATGCTGATCAACCATGACAGTATGAGAACATCCATGGCTGCATATACTACAATAGCACTCCAGGAGCAGCCCTGGCTCATAGGATTATTGGTGTGATATCTATAATAGGGCCCTTTTTCTGGACTAAATTAATTATCACTTTATTTCTAAATATACATCCTTAAAAAGGATAGACTATAAACAATGACAAAAGCTTTGATGAGATGACTTCATCCTGACAAGATAATATAAAGTTCCAACATACTAAAAAAGTTTGATCGTACATATCAACTTTCATTTCATGTTTGACATTGCCACTACCAGAGTTCTGGAAGTGGACCAACTTACTAAGGCACACTGTCTAAATTTGACATTAAATTATAAAAGGATCAAACATTTTAACAGTAAGTTTTAAATCACAAGGAATTAGGTTTTCTAACATTCCTCTGTCTTTGAAGACATTTTTTTTTAATATTAATAACAAACAAATTCTTTTTGTGATTGAAAGAAGAAAATGCAAAATTGAAAATAATGAGAGAAGTACTGTATTGTATACATAATATTGAAAATAATGGTGAGTTAGTTTGGAAGAGTGATATGAATTTGAAGTGTGCATCCATATAATACCTAGGCTATCTTCAGCTAGTTTTGTCACTGGTTTAAATAAATATTAGCAAGATGGAAACTTTGCAAATCTATTATTTACACTGGTTCTTCAGTTAAGAACATGAAGTAGTTCAACACACATTCATAATAACTAATGACGTAATTAAAAGTTTCGCAAAAGTTTAAAACCATCTTGATTCTACTTCAGTAACTCATAATATCTGTTTACATATAAATGGAAATTAAACTACTACAGCTAACCTGCTCCTAAAAAGATTAACTAAGACCCATGATTTTGTACCTAAGATGGCATTTATAGTTATTATGATTTTATGAGAATTTGCAATGGCCACTCAAGTCAGGGACATGAGCCAAAATAGTTTACCATAAAAACTTGAGCATGTAAAAAAAAAAATAGTATGAAATTCCATGAATGGAAAAAGTATCAAAATGGATTTATTGGGCTAGTAATAAACCATTTCAAATGAACCTGAGCAATGTCTTACCATGGAAAGATCAAAGGGACTGTACAATACCATTTCATAAAGATATAAAATATATTGCAGGTGAAAATGCTGACATGGGTCAAGACAGGTCACTTTTGAGAAGCAAAGGACAAATACAGCTGAAACAGGGAGGGTCACAATGAATGAAAATTTAACTGCAGTCTATGGAAACACCAAACTTCAGATACTAGTCATGCATTACCAAGAAGTTATTCACAAATGAGCATGATATAAAGATATAGATTTGTAAGTACAGTAATTAAAATTATATTTACGTTACAATTTGAGAGAATTTGTTAAATATCTCAATTGGAAACTTCTATTAAAACTTGCCATTGAAGCAAAGAATAATATTTCCAGTTTAAAGGCTAACCAAACTAACAGATGTAAAATGTACAGAACATATTATATAATTAATTAACCATGGCTAAGACCCAACTTGTACATCCATAAGACAATGCACTTCCTATAATTCTACACAATACCTAATCTCCACAAAAAGGGCTTATCATTTAGCAACTGAAATATGCTACAGCCTGAAAATGGCTTTTACTACTTTGTCACCCTCATTTGGCACATCTGACATCTGTGCTTTTCAAAACTTAAAAAAATTATACAAATCTCACAACTCCTTTGGCACACTTGTAGGAAATGTTTTATATGAATCTCTATGTAATGGACCCATCTGTGTTAAAAATGATCTACCATAAACTACAAAGAAGTGAAGAGTTCTTCTTTCTTGAACTCTAGTGTAAAACCCTTATGTTTAGTGCTTGTAACTAAACTAAGTACTGAATTTAAGGATATCCCTCTTAGTAGTAATAATGTCTTGTAGTTTGTGTGCGTGTGTGTGTGTGTCTCAATAAAAACACTCCAAAACTGACAGGCACCTGGGATTACACCCTCATATTGAAATTACCAGGCAAACAAAGCCCTAGTTAAAATCATACACATCTACAGTACAAAACAGAAGAACTCATCACAAAAGAAATGTCCTATTCACTTGTAACCAATAATAATTGTAAATATATGTTATATACTTATCTATATATTTGACATTTCAAGGAAGACACAGGTGGACTTAACAGTAAACTACCAGACCTGATATCCTCATGACAGATTATATATGTGTACATACATGCATCATACACAGTATACAGTTTACTGTACCTCAGTACTATGTTATACAAAATTAAGTGAATGATTCAACAAATATATTTTTCTATGATTATAGTACTTTCCAATAAAATAAATAATAAAACCAAATAATATTAAAATTACGATAAATTCTCCAACAACAGAAACACTCTTCCCACTACCAGTCAAAATAAATTTAAATTTGTATGTGCT